GAGAACAGTCTAGTTCCATCCTCTTTGGAACCCCCTTTCAGGTAGTTGAAAGCAGCTATCAAATCCCCCCTCATTCTTCTCTTCTGCAAATGAAACAATCCCAGTTCCCTCAGTCTCTCCTCATAAGTCATGTGCTCCAGCCCCCTAATCGTTTTTGTTGCCCTCTGCTGGACTCTCCAATTTTTCCACCAAGCCCCAGGAACCTAGGTAAGCTCCTTCGGGGTTACACTAAAAAGAAAATGAAAAAAAATCATCTGAAGCTTTCTGAGAAAAACGATTGAAGTTGCTCCCAATATTATACATGGGCTGATAGCTCAAGTTCTTCAATACTTTCCATTTAAACACTATATTTTCAGTGGAGTATGGCTTTGCCAAACTGTCTCCAATTAAATTTACATGCTGAATTATTTTGGGAAGTATCATCTAAAAGTGTTCAGCTATTTTTGAGAATGAGATTAATGAAAAATATATTGTTTTGTCCATATTCCATTTTTCGTGTGGAATAAAGTAAAGGTGTAATTAAAGACTGTATCATAATGCATACATGCTTGGGAGCTGAATTAAGGTTGCACTGTCAACCAGAAGTCTGGCATTTACAAAATGTTGAATGCTTGGCTTGGCAACCTTATTTTTCTTATGTAGTTATTTGGAGGTAACATTTAATGTACTCAGAGATTGTTGTTCTAATCAGGTTTAGATGTGTGGCTTCAGCTAAAAAAGCTGTAAAATAAAAGCTGTGGCGAGAAAAAATCTGCAGTAGTTCATTTGTGATGGACAAGATGGCGAGAGAATTGGGAAGTGAGCTTTATATGAAGATGCATTTTAATGGAACACTTCCTTTGCTTGAAGTGTACACATCTTAAAAAACTTTATTCATTCTACCTGCTGAGGTCCCTAATTCACAGCCCTGCTGCAGATGCCTTGACATATCATTTTGTTTTCTGTCCTTCCCCACCGCATGCTCTGTACCAGGAGCTGCTGCAGAAGCAGTACAAGTAGGTCATATGACAACAATGAATCTGGCCCCCATCTCAAAAGTTTCAGCATCACCCCATAACATAGGATTTAACTAGATGCTGAAATCTAGTACTTAATGCGAAATGATTTATTATCCACTTTTGAAAACAATGAAAGGTGTAACCCGCCTTGTTCTGAACATAATTCTGGAGTTTCTGATGATTTTCAGGAAGCTCAACCTCAGTACACATCTCCAGTATACCCTCCTCCCTCAGAGAAAAAGCAACCAGAAATACCTCATTCCAAATACAAGCAAAGAGTTGATCCCTCCCAACCCCTTCTGAGGGAGTCTCACAGGCAGCAGCAATTCTGCCATCTATGGAAATGCAAAGTTATCTACAAATTTGTTTTGAGACACAAATCAAGTCACAGAGAGGAGAATGATCCCCCAGCCTGTCCCAGGAAAATCTGAGTCAGAGTTAAATGAAGAGAAGGAGTTACCCACCACAGTCCTGCTGCTGTACCAAGTGGATTCAGATGTCTGAGCAGTGGTAACTCTTATGGCATCAGTGTTAAAAAGCAACATGAGAGGACTGATACCAGCCATATCATTATTTCTCATACTTCTTGCTCTCCAATCAGGAGCAGCCTTGAAGTGTCACTTACCAATTCTACCCCTCCCCCTTCTCTCTTTGGACTGATTTTTAGCATTGGATATATTTACTTGGACTTATACTTCCCTTAGAGGAGCACCCATTCAAAGCTCTAGGCTCCCTGGAAAGTTAAAGGTACATATGACAAAGTAAACAAACAGACTCTGGCAATTATGTTAACAGTAAAGGAAATGCATGGCAATTATATCTCTGCTCTTTACTAACAGAGACATAATACTGACTGGTTGTGATCTGCTGTCTTAAAAAAAATCACTCTAAACTTGAAAGTAAAATGTAGACTTGGAATCAGGAATTGTCAGTAAATTCAGGTATGAAATATTCACCCAAATTCTGTATTCATCAATCACATAGAATCACTTAAATTGTTGGTAACAGGGGATTAGCCTATAACATTAATCCACAACTTGGCTCATTGTCAGTCCCTAAGGCCTGAACTGTAGAGGATTAGTTCACCCAAGAGTTTTTGTTTTTGTTACATAGGGATTAATCTTTCCTCATCACAGCCTTTACACATCAAGACGGTATAAAGAAAAACTGACTAAGCTCTTGTTTCAAACACCTTGAGTCTTTTGTTGCTGCCACATAGTCCTGCCAAGGTAGAAATCCCTGCTTGGAAACCCCTTTGATGCAGTTCCTTCCTGTGGCAGGAATCAGGCAATAGGCAAGGTTCATCAGTGTGCTCATGGTGCGGGTGGGTTATTTCCAGTGGCCCACTAAACCTCCACCCAGCTCCTACGCAGAAGGCATTGCCCTCTACATCCCAAGTGCACAGGATGAGCTGTGAGTCTAGAAGCTGTGGCGAGAGACCAGCAATCCGGGATGATAATAGCAATTTCTTGTATTCCTAACAGCCTCTGTATTGCATGGTGACACAGAGATACCCTTAGCTTGGGGGATGGACCAGAAAACAGGTGGATGCTGGCAACTGGATACTCCGATACATCACCTTGCAGCTAGTTATTTCATTTCTTAGTTGCCTTCGTCTTGGTCCAAACTCAGAAATTCTTTATTACTTGTTAAACGCCAGTGATGTCCTCAGAGAATTTGAATGTTTCACTAAGCCCCCAATCTCACAATGAAGTAAACCTAGGCCATCCCTGATAGGTGTTTGTCCAACCTGCTCTTAAAAACCTCCAATGAATGGGATTCCACAATTTCCTTTGGCAGCGTATTCCAGAGTTTAACTACCCTTATAGTAAGAAGGTTTTTCCTAATTATATATATATATATATATATATATATGTACACTCAATCTCCCTTGCTGCAGATTAAGCCCATTACTTCTTGTCCTACCTTCAGTGGACATGGAGAACAATTGATCACCATCCTCTCCTCTTTATAAAGCCCTTAACATATCTGAAGTGTGTGATCAGGTTGTTCATCTTGAGCATTCTTTTCCCAACTCTAAACATGCCCAGTTTTGTTAAACTTTCTTCAGAGGTCAGGTTGTCTAAAACTTTCATCATGTTTTGCTGCTCTCCTCCAGACTCTCTCCGATTTGTCCACATCTTTCTAAAGTGTTGGCTCAGTACTCCAGTTGAGACCTCATCGAGGCTGAGCAGAATGGGACAATTACCCCCATGTTTTACATATGACACTCCTGTTAGTGCACCCCTGAATGATATTAGTTTTTTTTGCAATTGCATTACATCATTGATTCTTATTCAATGAGAGTGGGGCCTGAAACTGGGAACGACTGATGAGACCAGTTCCATTCAATGTCTAAGTGACACACTGTGGCAAATTGCCTGCACTACTATAATGGATCCCACGCTTTCTCTTCTTGTGGGGGTGTTCAGGGCACCGTTTCTCGCCCCTGATCTGGGGTATTAACTGTCCCACTAATATGCCAGAGAAGGGGAGTGGAGAGGGAGGGACCCGGGCCCGCCCTCTACTCCGGGTCCCAGCCCAGGGGCCCTAGGGATAGCGGTGAACCACTTGAACTAGCGATTCCTTCTCCTTGGCTACTTCCCTCTCTGGCCCTTCAGCTTCGGGGGCTTCCTGCCCTCTCTCTGCTTGGGCAAGGTTTCTCCCAATCCCTTGTACCTGTGGAGTCCCTCTGCTCTGTACAAGCTGGGTTTCCCTTTACCTAGGGTCTTGGTCTTCTGACCTGCCACAGCACTTTTCCAAAGTGTCTTCTGTTTCCCTCCAAACTGCTCTCCTCCAAACTACTCTCTGCTCCAACACCAAACTATTCTGCTTCAACTCCTTCAACTGTCTGATTGAAGCAGGGGGGGTTGATCAGTTGACTGGCTTCAGGTGCTCTAATTGGCTTAATTGGCTTCTGGTGCTCTAATTAATATGTAGCAGCCTCTCTTCCCTCTACAGGGAATAAGGCTCTCATCACCCTGGGGCTTACATATCTCTCATCTATCACTCTCTTGCTGCCCTGTGGCCATGCTATATCACACACACAGAGACCAATTTTCTCTCAGTATCTGACTCCAAAATGCCTGAGAAGAACTGAACATCCACTATGCACTCCAAATAAAAGATTTGTGGAAACAGCTCTCTCCCCTCTCAGAATTATGTAGATTCGGGTTGAAAACAGCTCTTTTCCTTAATTAAATGTTCCGAGTGAAACTAACTGATAACTCACTCTGTAAATAACTGCTAATGATGCAGCCATAATGGAAGGCCAGGGTTACAGTTTCCTGTCTCCTGTCCCTTTAAGGGTTAGAAGAGATCAAGGGGGACACAGCTGGTAACAGGGTGTGGTCCGAGGAGAGTTCAGTGTGCTTCAGAGACACTCAGCAGCACTGGGGCTTGTATAAGGCTGCATTGATGAGAGCTAATTTTCTAATAAATCCTGTTTGTTCTTGCAGTTTAAGAAGTGAGAACTTTGACTGGAGGCCAAAGTGCTGAAACGAAGGGATTAGAAGCAAGCAGAGATTTATGGATTATGCATTGGAAACAAAGAGGATGAAATCCCAGCCCCATAAAGCTCCATAGCACAACTCCCATTGCCTTCAGTAGGGCCAGGATTTCACCCAGTAGTACAGGAAAAGCTGGTCAAATAACGAGGGTGGGAGCAATTATTCAATAAAAAATGCCAAACAAAGAAAGAAAACATTTGTAACAGAATGGTTAATCAACACTAGTTGCAGAACAGGATTCTTTATCTTCTAATCCATTCCAGGCAGGGATTACCTCTATTTGTGGAGTAGCCAGCACAATATCAACTGGGGCCTTTTGGTGCTACCATAACACATATGTACTATAATGACCACTCCAGAATTGTTTATTGAGCGAATTTGTTCCATCTAAGAAATGTAGCTCAGCTTGCTGAGATGGTGGCCTACCCACTGAAACTCACCAGTAGGATGGAAAAATTGGTGCAGAGACAAAAAAGGCATAAAACCAAACCAGTCACATGAGGCCATTTTTATTTAGATGAGTGCAGTAGCACGCATGTCCACATACAAGACTCAAACATTTTTCATAAGTAGACCAAATCCTTAAGTGCTCTGTGGTTTTATGGATGCTTCTCCATCAATTCAAGGATTTCATCATACATACGCTGGGTTGCATCAAGACCCCAGATGAAATCAACATGGGTCCAATCAGGAAAATACTTATAGAAAACTAGATTTGTAAGTCGAGGGAGTAAGACTGCAGTCGCCTGTGGGCTTGTAACCAAGTCACGTCCACCATTCCATAATGCTGTTGGCACGGTCATATCTTCTACCTTATAAAATGGAGGGGTGGTCTGTGGGAGGGAGGAGGCAAATAAAAATAAATCGGACAAATGAAAGTCTGCAGCCTCAATGATTTTTAATCCAAATATGTGTTAGCCTTGCATTAACATAGGAGTTGCCATAGCAGTCCAGACCAGTGGTCTTTAATTATTAATTATTATTATTAGTCATTTGTATCACCATGGTATCTAGGAGCCCTAGTCATGGCCCAAGAGTGGTTTGTGCAGGCATACACAGGAAAAAAAAGATAATCTTTACCCCAAATCTATTGCTTTTAATCAACCCACAGTTACCCCATTATCAGGTAGGGCCCCGACAGTACATCAGACATAACCTTTCTAAGCAATGGTGGCAACAGGTGGCTTGGGAGTATATTTTGAATTGAAGGCACATTTCTTGGGAGATAAACTCCTCAGATTAGCATCCCCTAGTCTCTCTTGATCAGCTCTCGCATGACCCTCAGAATATCTGAGCCTAGAGATCCTTCTTGGTAACAACAGGATATCTAGTGGTCATGGGTGGTTTATCTTAAACTTTTACTGTTGGCGATTGTGGAGCTCCCCATCCTGTCCCTGTGAGTTCAAGAACAAACAGTGTGCCATCTGCTTATGGGCTGCCCACTTTATCATCATGATGGTGGATAAATGAGTTTGATGTCTCCAGACAATGCTCTGTGAGAGAGGCTACATCACTTACTCAACATCTAATTCATTATTTGGGCCATCAGAAGGCATATGCCAAAAGAAGAATGGTTGTAAAGAAGGTGCAAGGAGCCATACCTTGGATAACTATGAAAAACATGCTCACACTAGAAGTTTTGTCCTAACCCCACCACTGAGAGTTTGGCCTGTGCCTTTAAGGGAGAAAGTTGATGTCCCATCTAGTTTTTTGTTTTAATTTTCTCTGAGATAACTGGGATGTTGATGTCTGATCTTTAAACCTACTGAGACTTTGCACCAAGATTTTCAAAACCAGGAGCCAAAGTTTTGCTTGAAAATCCTGATTTAGGCTTCTATGTAAGTAGCCTGATTTTGGAAAGTGTCCAGCGCCCAACATCTCCCACTGACTTCAATCTGAACAGACCTAACTTAAATAATTATACAAAGGGAAGGAAAAGAGGGATTGTCATGATCCCCACAGGAAAAAAAGGAAACTGAGGCAGAAGCAGATTAAGTGACTTGTTCATGATCACATAGAAAGTCTGTGACAGAGCTGGGAGTTGAAGCCAGATCTCCTGATGGCCACTCCTATGCTTTAATGCAAGGCCACCTTTCCTTCTGTGCCTTCAGGCTCCCTTTTCTGCGTAGGCATATTCAGACCCCCCCCTCTCCCTGACTCTATTACAGGATGCCTAAATAACCTCCAGGTACACTAAGGATTTTCTTCCTTACTTCTGACTCCGACTCTAGACTCTGAGGCACAAGCTTCCTCAGTTTTTGAAATCCTTATTTCTAAAGCTTAGTATCGCAGGGCTTGGTTTTGTTAAAATTCTTTTCCCCAGGGTGTTAAACTTAATTCTATTGTGGTCACTATTTCTTATTGGCTCACACACCGTTGTTTCTTGAATCAGCTCTTGTGTTTTGTTCAAGATTAAGTCACAAATAGCTTCTCAGTTGTGCAACCTATACCACCCGTTCCAAAAAAGAGGTAATTTAGGATGTTCAGTATGACAGCTCTGACCATAATCAGATTGGAACCCAGGTCTCCAGAGATGAAAAAGCTAATGCACAAACCACTGTGCCATCTTGATCCCTGCAGGTACGTATTCTTAACTTCCAAAATAAACAAACATAAATCACTTTTCCCTACCTGATTATATTTATCTTTGTTCTTACAGCCATAATCAAAATATTTAAATTCTCCAGATTTAGATAACTAAAAAGAAAATACAAGGGTGTAAAATACAAAACACAACTGAATGATCTTAATTTGTTTTTCTGCTTTAAAGTGTCATAAAATGCCCAAACTAAAGAATAACACTAAGATGCAAAGTTCAACAGAGTTTCTATAAACAAGAATACATAGCTGTGCAATATAAAAGATAAGCTGATTTCATAACATTCTTTAAAATCATTCTCTCTATTTACTCTTAAAGAATATTTTCATTTAAAATTATATATTCAAGACTCAATAATACACAAATGTATTTTTTAAAAATATCAGGTATCAGGGAGAAATGAATAGGGGCAGGGACTCATTGCAGCTCAGGTACTGTGTATATAGAGAAATTCCCATACTACAGTGGGACAAATCCCCTCTTACACTTTGCTGAAGTATAGTTTGGAGCCCCAATCCAGTAAAAAAGCACATAAACCAGTACTAGTCTTTAAGTACATGAATAATCCCTTTGAAATTAATGGGACTACACATATTCTTAATGCTTTGCTGGACTGGGTGGGACCTTTTTGTGAGCTTCTTTGAAGAACTCACTCAATGTGGTCTTGCCTCAGTTGTAAAGATTTCACCTGTAACTAACTAGGCCTCCAGCCCCTTAGGTAAATTCCATGGGGTGTCCTGCAAATTATGAACTCTATTGCCCCAGGAACAGCAATTGCATCTGGAGGTAATGGACCTGCCAGTACTTGAAGGGGAAAAAATCAGGCAGCTGGAGTTACTGGCATGGGAGTATGTGATTATCTACCAGACGAGGGCATTTCTTTTGCCACACTTTTCAAGAGTATGTGCACTGAATTGAAGAAAATCTTTCCCCACAAATTATTCACCTTTCATCCTCTTCAAATAAATTTCAGCAACATCTGAATGATGTCAACATAGATCAGGAATTCCTTCGTAAAAATAATATGGAGGACTAAAGCTTGTTCTCCGAAGACATTTATAGAAACTCCCATTGGGTATAATATGTATCTTTGTGGGGAAAATGAAAACCTGGAAAGTATATCATGTAATACAGTATCTTAAAGACCCAATATGTTGCAGTGCTCACTCCACAACTTCCCCTGCAGAAATGCCTTGCAAGATCAGATTGTATGTGATTTGCCTAAATTAGACAGGAATTCTGTGGAGAACCCAGCTTTCCTGTCTCTCACATTTAACTATCCGTCCAGCATTGTTAACCACAAAATCAATCATATTAGCATCTTTGAGTGTATTAAAACATTGATCCAGAGAGGAATTGAGTACTTGCAACTTCTATTCACCTCAGGATCCAGTTCTGAGTCACTGAGGCCATGCATATACTAAGAAAAAATTGTCTGCTCAGCTCACTGAGGTTTTGAGAAATGTTTGTATAACTTAGTTAATTTTTCTCCGTCTTCCCTTCTCCTTCATTGAGGACATATAGCAGAAGGAGGATATTTATTACACTAGAAATATTTTTCCTCTCTGCTTGTATGGATAATTCTTTCCTTATTTTGGATCATCAGAATTCTTCTCTTTACTGAAAAATTTCTAAACTAAACTAAAATAAAACAAACAGATAATACCTAAACAGTGAGCAGATTCTGAATGACCCTGTTAAATGTAATACAAAACCACACTCTCTGCTACCAAAGAGAGATGATTATTTCATTGATAAATAGCTGATTTTCTCCTATACAAATTTTTAACTGAATAAGTGTGATACATAATACATAATGAAGTGTGAAAGGAAGAATTTTTAAACACCAGCCATGAGTGCAGTATATTTATTTTTAAAGAAGACCTGGTTAAACAGTGCAATAAATATCAGAAATCCTACCTGGCCCCAGTGGATTATATTTTTTACAGATGTATAATCTGGAAAACTTGCTAAATACACATCTGCCCGGCTCTGCAAGAAAAAAAATATTGTTACACAATATTCATTTTCTAAGTGAAGTTATCACGGACAAAATTCTACTTTCACTTAACATTCAACTTAGTTACACCTATTCAAGATCTAGGCACAGGACACAATTTAAAATAGAATTTTTTTCACAGTAAATCAAATAAACTTTACAAGAAACCCAGGGGAAAATGTGGAAGCCTAAAAACTGTACCCACTCCAAACACAGCCCCTTTCCCATCCCCTGCCCCTAGGAAAAGCCTGAGAGAACAGTTGGGGCTTACTTCAAGTCCAGAAAGTTATAATTTCCAGGCATTAAAATAGGTTTTAACCAACTGCATGACTGTAACGCTACAAAAGGCAAGTGTAGTGGGAGCTAAGCCCACGTTTTGTAGTGGATACATCATTACACAGCAAAATTTCATGAGTTCAATTGGTTTGGAGCATACTTAAGTCATGCTCTGAGTGAACCAGAGATTTATGGTAGCTGAAGAAAATCACATGACACTCGGTCACACTGCATAGCTTCCACTCAAAGAGAGAGAAATGGGTGTTTTAACTGCTACTTACTGTGATGAGGTGTATCTACCCTAGACTGGACCAGCTAGGATTGACCACATCCTGTGGGCTGAAGAGGCCAAGCCTCCTTACCCCCGTTAGACAGGCTCTAACTGGAAATAGGACATAAAATGGAGCAGCCCAGCTCAGTCTGGGTGACTGAGGAGGAAAGCAGACATACGCTGCCAGCTCCTGCCAGAGAGCTGCTGGAGCTCCAGACTGTTGAGTCCGAAGATGTGGAATCCAAGCTGGAACTCCCCTCAACCACAAAGGACAAGAGAGATGGGAGGTCACTACCCCCAATGGAACAGATGGAGCAGGAATCAAGAGTTGAAAATGAACCAAGAAATGTGAAGATTGAAATAGGAAACCAAGCCTGAATCCAGGACTACTGGTTTCACAGGCTCTGGATCAGGACCTGGTGGAGTAGGGTGGGCCCGGGTCCTCCTACCCCACCCTGCAGCTGCTGCTGGGTGAGGGCACCACCTGTAGGGTGGACACGACTGCCCAAGGGAAGCTCCAAGGATTCTGGCTGCTTGGCTGCGCTGCCCTGAGAGCAAGAGTGGCTCTAAGGACTCTGTCCGCTGGGTCCCAATATCTTAAAGACAGGGGATACCCTGGTGACTCTCACTGATTGAGCCATAGCTACCCCTTTCATTGTCTGCCTTGACCCAACACCTCACAATGCTTTGTATCTACCCTTTGACACTTACATTCAGTGTTTTGATTCATTCTAGTCTTAAACTCAAAGATCCTCCGCACAGCCATGTGAAGGGAGAAAACAGCCAGAGACAGATGCTAGCAGGAGCGGTTGCAGAAACAGTTTAAGCAAGGATTGCTGTATTAAGCAGAAAAGAGGGTAAAATGAAGCCCACCCAATACCCAAAACTGTACAGATGAGAATCCCCTCCACTTACCCCATTCCTATTACCATTCCTTCCACATTCAATTTGGGCTTGAAGAAAGAAACTTCAGGGAGGTCCAGCGAGACTGGAACCAGCAGAGCAACTGAAGAAGCAGTTTAAGCAGGGACTGACTGACTGATAATTTAATTGTTTAATCTAATTGTTTAATCTGATTGTTTAATCTAATCCCATTCCACCCCCTGCATCAGTCTCTGCATTTTAGAATCACTGTCCCTCCCACCTTCCTCCATTCCCGCTTCTCACCTGTTCTGTCCCCCTGATTGCTCCACCTTGCTTTTCTTTCCATTTAGCTAATGCTTTCCTAACAGAAATCATGTTTAAAAAATCCCTGAACTAACATGACAATTGATACTAGCACATTGTTCTCTCTGCTTATGTGTTCTATCCCTTTTCTTACCCTACTGTGTGTTTCTTGTCTATTTAGATTGTGAGGTCTTCCAGGCAAGACTGTCTACTATACTGTGTCTGTATAGTGCCTAGAACAATGGGGCCTGATCTTGACTGATGCTAGAAACTATCATAATAAGTAAGAGTCATAATTAGAAAAGCAAAACTTGCACACAAACCCATGTGAATGTAAACCAGCACTACTACTGATCCGAGTCACCCAAATTATTTTGGAAATCCATTGTATTCAAAATTCTTCTCATTGACATAGCAATAGGAAAGGGATGAGCACTGACATTTGCAGAAAGAAAAAAACTCAATTTTTTTCTGAGATGGAGTAAAAAAAGAAAGAAGTGCTTCAGCAGCAAAGACGAGGAACAGATGAACCAAATGTAAAGGCCACCGTTAATTCTAGATACTTATGACACACACAAAAGCCTTCCCAAACTCTGCAACAGTCTAAAGACCTAGTTCTCTTATTGCAGGTTAGATATTCTACGTTTCTATAGCACCCAGCACTGTGGGACCGCAATCCCCACTGAGGATTTGGGGCACTAATATATACATTGTTGTATATGATGATGGCATGTTGCACAAACACTGTGGAACTCAGAAGCTGTCTTATGCAGATTAATTAACTAGGATTGTTACTATACGTACCACATTTAAGTTTTTCTCATTAAATCCACCTAAAATAAAAAAGAGGGTTTGGATGCAAAGTCGGTCTACTAGTGCAGTTCCGCACACCTTGGCAGTAAGTGATTTCAGTCTCGCGCTTAACAGACAGAATTCTTTCTTGCCAAATACAATCTGAGAAAATATAAAGATGTTGTTCACCATGACTCTTAAATGCATTGTTTACTATTGTTCTCTCTCAGAAAGACTGAGGTAAAGAGTTAAATTTGTAGGAACAGCTTTACCCAAGCCAAGAATTCTTCCATATACAATTAGTGAATGACAGATGCACTTCAGTACTAGTAAAATGTCACAGCCTGTCCTCTTTTGTTCACCTAAGGAGAGGGATCACCATTCTTGGCCGAGCTGTGACAATCTCTCCATTTTCTCCTACTTTTCCTTCACAAAATACATGCACCCCTTGGAAAGAGAGACCATGGGTGAACTCATGATTCCATAGAAGCCAATGGAATCCCATGAGGCACCACGGTGGCTTGGCCACAGAGAAAAGACCACATGGCATCATCTGGTCCATAAACATGGCTCATAGATGATGATAAGGGCATGGAGCAGTAGTTCCCAACCAGGGGTACGCGTTCCCTTTGGGATACTCAGAGGTCTTCCAGAGGGTATATCAACTCATCTAGATATTTACCTAGTTTTACAGCAGGCTACATAACAAGCACAAGCCAAGTCAGTACAAACTAAAATGTCAAGCAGACAATGACTTGTTTATACTGGTCTATATATTATACACTGAAATGTAAGAACAAATATTTATAGTCCAATTGATTTATTTTATAATTATATGATAAAAATAAGAAAGTAAGCATTTTTTCATTAATAGCATACTGTGACACTTTTGTATTTTTATGTCTGATTTTGTAAGCAACTGTTTTTTAAGTGAGGTGTAACGTGGGGATACATAGGATAAATCAGACTCCTGAAAGGGGTACAGTAGTCCAGAAGGGTTGAGAGCCACTGGCATGGAGGACCCAGAGGTACAACTGCCAGAAGGGACCTGAGTGGCTCCAATAGAGGAAGAGATTATGGACCTGAAATGAAGCATTTCATTTTGATTTTTGTGACATAATTTTTGGATGACTTTTCTCTTTCCTTATAGAATATTTTGATTTCAACGAAAACCATTTTCTAACGGGAAACCAGGTTACTTAATTTTTTCAACGAGCGCTATAATTTTCGATGGTATTAATTAAATTCATCTAGATAATTTGATCTAACATCACACCTTTTAATCCTGGCCTAGATGAGACCTTTCTGTTTAAGGAGCAGTAGGATCTCTGAGCCAAAATTTCCCAATCTTTAAAGTGAGGGTCATGAGACAGACCTACTTCTGAAAAAATATTTGCAGAGTGCTGTATACGTTTGAGAAAAGCTCAAGAATTGCTGGCTCTCCATTCCTATTTCTGGGGGAATCTCTCCTTCTTCTTTCCTCAAACTTTATGGTCCTTGAAAGAACATGCCATTTCTCATGCCTGACTCTTTGTCCAAAGTGGGGGCTTTTCAGGCTTTTGACTGTTTGTCTGTGAAAAGCTTTCAGGCTTGATATTTCCAGAAAAAATCAAAATTCAGACATGCATACATCAAGTGGAATAAGTTGGTGAAAAAGTTTTTAGTTTACACACACACACACAAAATCCCCAGTTTCCCCTAACCCTTGTCTCAATACATTTATCACACTATTGTTGCATGATGCATGATAAACTTATTTCTATACATAATGTTCTGCACTGCTGCATGGGAAACGTACATATAACACTCCAGTGTGCATACAGGCCACAGATCCTAAATTTCCATTTACAACTTTTTCATATAACAACATTTATTCATGAGAGTAATGAAATATGGAGGATTCTACATACCCTTAATAAATCAGTAGGAAGAAATATCAGTTGTGTCAGAGGGGCTTTGCTTTTGTTTAACATGTATGCAGGAGCCAAGGCAAAAAATATTTTGATTTTTTGAGCCAATTGAGGCATGGCTGAAAATGCAATAAAAGCTGAGAAAGCAAAAGAGATTAATTACAGCACTCTTAGAAACAAGTTACAACATACAACAAGCCAGTATAAACAGGCAGAGATTGATTTGATTAAGGTAAATGTTAATCTCCAACCTCAATGTATCTTTTGTTTGTAAAAAAAATCAGAGCTGATGCAGAAAAAAAAATTGAAGATATCGCAGGGTAAACACAAGCTAAGATCTGTGCTATATAGGCATCTTTTCTCCGTGTCTGCCTCAGAATATGCTGGAGAACAACAATTTCAATAGTATACATTTTGGAGGACTCTTGGATTTCTCTTCCGCATCGACAATTTTTTTTAAATAAAATGAAAACAAAAAAACTGTTAATACTGTGTTCCCTCCCTATTTATAAGGCTGTTTCAGTTACAAGTTGTGGAAAGAAGGTTTGAGATAATATGAGGGTCCCAAGAACATACTCAGAATTTAACAACAAGAGGAGAACAGCCTTAACATGACTATCATTTGTGTCTCCCGTTCCAATAATGAGATCTATAATCTCAATTCCATCCATCTGCTTTTCTGTCCACTCAGCTCCCTACTCAAAATTTTGGTCTCCCCTCTATCTCCTTCCCAAGATTATGCATAGTTGGGAATTGCTCTCTCATTCATGCACATCTGAATGGAAGTAGACAGCAGCGATGCACTCATTTTGACCAGTCTCTTGTTATAAGAGCATGTGAATAATATTCACAGTGAAATTACAGTCCCAATCAAACCTTAACTATGAAATAGGGACAAAAAGACAAAACAAATTTAATGGTCTTCTTCCGAACATACCTATGGTACAGCCCTGAGAATACCCAATGTAATACAAGTTCTGTTGTCCAGTTTTCTGCAGAATGAAGTCTATCAATGCTGGAAGGTCATACATAGCCATTTCATGAAAACTGCAACACAAAAAGAGAAAGTTGCTTGTGTAACTGAGTTGTAATTCCTGCTCCTATATAGCATTTAAAAGCAATTATTGAACCACACATCTGTCCATTAATAAAAATAAAGTATAGTTTTGGATGTGAATTGTTTCTTTAGATATTTGTTTTGTGTTTATTTTGTTCTGGGTTGTTAATTAAGAGAAAAAGGAGGTTTTTTTTAAATAAAGTGAGGCATAAGAGTCGTAGGTTGACGTAAGTACTATGCAAGCAGGATTCTTTATATTATTATTTTGTATATGTCTATCATATCCCCTCTTCTTTCTCATCTCTAAACCAATAGTCTCAGTCTTTTCTGCTTTCTCTTTGTAGGGAAGTCTCCCTACATATAACTCAAGACCTCTATTTCTGCTATTTGCTTTTCAAAGTAGCATGACCATAATCAAATGCAGTATTCCAGGTATGGACATTGATTTGTATTGTTGCCCCTACACCAATGCCTGGTCTCATTTCAGTCTTGCTCCTCTGCTGAATAGTAGAATTCAAGGGCCTGGCAGGGTCGTTTCCAGTGCAGAAGAAATCAGTGATGAATCTGGGTATATTTGAAGTGTAACTTGATTTATTTAACATGTGTATACCAGCCCTGACATGAGATGGCCAAAGAGCATGCGGCTTCTTCCAGGAATTTCAACTCAATGGTGGCTGGTGCTCAGAAAGCAAGCCCTAGCTACACCTAACCCAAGTCAAGAGCCCAGGTTCATATTCCATCTCCCCCAAAGCTGCCTCTACACAAAACAACCTGGCATAGCTAACACTAACAACAACACAGCATGTCTGTATTCTCATACTAAGAAAAAAGAACATTGAAGTTTGTGTATAAACAGTGCTACGTGTGGATGGCTGCCATAATAATACATCGGTATATTTTAAGTATTTTCCTTACCATTCATTATGCATCCTAACATTTTGTTTGCTTTTTTATGATTGTTGCTGAAAATCGAGCAGAGGTTTTATCTGACCCATCCACTATGACACACAGTTCCCTTTACAACTTAGAACTCAGCAGTGTGTCAGCATAATTCACATTATTCCTTCTTATCTCCAGTAGCTAGCACTCCTCATTCTCTATGCACCTTCCTCACCTATCGTGCAGTTGCAGTGCAGTCAGAGAGGTAACATGGTATTGCAGATTGGGCACCAGTTTGGGAATCAGAAAAATCAGGATTTTATTCCCATCTTGGCCAATGACCTGCTGCGTGACATTAAGCAAGTTCATTGATATCATTGTACTTGTTTTGCTGATCACTCTGTTTTATCTATTAGATGCTTAACTCCTTGGGTTACAGACTGTCTCTTACTGTTAGAACTGGGTGAAAATTTTCCACCAGGACAGTTTATATTAGAAAATTTTCCAAAATAGATGCCCTAAGGGAATTTGACAAAATGTCATTTAAAAAATCAGCAGTCAAACATTTATAAGTTGTAATATAAAATAAAAAAGTTGAAATCTAAAGAATTGGACTGACCTGAAACAAAAATAAAAACAACAACTTTATTTCTTGTCCACTTCAGTAGTTTCTCTCCAGTTCAGCCTACCTGAAATCCCAAAATTCCTCTTGGTCAATTGAAAGGTTCTGGTGTTTTCTAGACCAGGTGTTCCCTCTGCTATTTCCTATCCAAACATCATAGCCTGCATCTGCTAGTATGAAGCCCAGGCTATTATTGGGCAAATTGGCAACCCAGTTGCTACCGTCTAAAAGAAGGCCATGCAGAAGTAATGCAGCGAGCTTTGGGCCTGGAAAATAACAAAATGGAATATTTCACAAAAACAGAACTTCTATAACATGGTAATGATGTAACATGAACTTCTCTTCCAGCCCAGATCTAGAAGAGGAGGCAAATATTCACTGACTTTTTTATTACAGCAAACCATTGTAATACATTGTTTTAATATTCCATTATATAGGTCAGCGAACTGACTGAGAAAAGCAAAGTAACTTCCTTAACTTTGCAAAGCCAGAATAACCTAAAACACCTCTTGATTCCCAATGCTATGCTTATTCCTGCAGGCCACACTGTCTTACTACCAGAGTTTCTGAACATCAAGGTCTCCCACTGATCCCAGTCCCATTCAATTGCAGTTGTCAATGTTTGGTAATTCTAATAACCAGGATCTAGGTGTCTCAAATTGGGCATCCAGAAAATGAGAACACAGTTAGTTGCGACATGTGAAAATTATGGTCTAATTGTCTTTCCCACAATCACATAGTAATATTTCTCTGTGGTGTAACTAGGGATAGAAACGAGCTCTTCTGGACAGTACAGAACTGCCTTACTCATTTGAGTACACAATCCAGCATCGTCCAAAAATTTTATTTTAGTCTTTCTAGATCTCTGTAGCATAAGTCTGAGTAGTGTTACGCTCAGACTGTACATCCCAGCAACAGCAATGTGCACAGAATAATTTTGGACCCTTCTCAGTTTACATCACAAGTTTGAGAATTACTCCTACACTGAGCTGATCATTAGGGCTCAGTTCTGGGCTCTGGACACAGAAATTCCTGCAGTAAATTCCTCTTCTTAGATTTGGCCATTTCCATTGCTGAAATGATTTACCTTGAAACAGATGATGTTTCCCAGAGTATTTGACTTGCTAAGAAACAAGAACTTACAGTTCATAATCAAGCTCAACCAACACGCACTTCTTTGCCATTGTGTTCTCCATCATCTGTCCCTCATGGGGAAAAGTTCCAACTCCCAGAGGATATGGGAGAGACCACAACTGCTTACCAAGAGCTCATCAGTGAGCATTTCTTCTCAGGAATAAAGCATTTTCCCAATATGATGAAGAGGAAAGTTTTACATCACATCAAGGGACTGATTCATTCTCCACTGGAGAAGGGGGTGAGAATGCAACCTCCCTGAACCAATGGGACTGGCTTGACTATTAATGCATTTACTTTAAGCATGAAAAGGCAGGGTTTCACCATAGAAAAGCTTTTTAAATTGGTAACTGGGGTCCCTGGGAGCCCCACCAGAGCAGGCTGCCACTGAGATGAGAAGAACTAGCACATTCCCAGAAAGCCCTGGCTAGACCCTCTTCCTGCCATAGCACCTTTAAGGCAGATCTTCTACCAGCATCTCTCAGGACCGAAACAAGATGCAAGAACTTCTTAGTCTCTCTGAAAGGAGCCATACCTGTGTCCCTAGGATTTCCTTTGCCATGAGGAATTCTGTTCATGCTAAGGTAATAGCCATCGGCTGTCAGCACTTCATACTCTTCACTCGGGTATCCTTTGTACAGGATCTTCTCACTCTATGGAATGAAAACAAAGGGTTTTGCCTAATTTTGTTTATGTATGTCCCTTTAATCCACTATCTCATGCAGCTATGAAGGAAATCAACAAATCAGTTTGATTTTGGTTTCATTTCCATGTGCTCCTGCATTTTCCTGATTTGTTCAAGTGATGTAAATCAAAGCCCAAATGCTGCAAGAGTTAGTCTCTTTCACTGTATTTCTAACGTGAACCAATCCAGGAAGCCCTGGAAATCTTCCCAGAGAGTATAAGCTGTTGGTTTCCATCTCAGTTCCCAGAACATGGAAGTTCAGAGAAGGCTGAATTCAAAATTCTAAACATTCAGATGCTTTTCTATCTTAATTTTATCCATAAAATATTTGCACATTCTCCCTTCACTTATCCATATACTAATCCCAATGAGGAAGCGTTAGTGAGAATAAACATTCAGAAATCTATTGGTGGAAGCAGCTTTTAGTGAAATTCTAAGGTCAAGAACAAGAAATGTGAACCATAAATTGAAAATAAGGAAATATTTAACTTTTGAGTCTAATCAAAAGAGGAAATAAGTTTGTTGAGTGGAAATAAGTCTGGGTGCCAATGTTTCACTTTTTCACAATACAAATACTCCAATCCAAAGCAATAAATTAGATGCTTTTAAGAACTTTTTGTCAAGCTTCCAAGATATAAAAGCATCCCTGATTCATTAATACTATTATGCAATATCAAGTTTCTGTTTTTAATTAGCAGTATTAAATTAATCAAGCGGTGTAGCTTTGATAGTGAAATCACTATTTACTGTCTCCCAATTCAGTTCTTGTACTAGTGGGAGAAAACCTCAGAAGGGAAGAGCACAAAAGTTGTTCTACTTTATGTTAGCTATATTTTTAATAAAACTGGACCCAATTCAGAGCAGTGGTGAAACTTCACAGACCACAGATGAGTTCAGTATAACAGAAACCAGACCCAATAGCCAGTACCCCTCACGATCTCTGCTCTAGCCAAGGCAGATTAGATTGTACCCTTCTGGAAAAATGGAGAGTGCCAGTAGGTGCTGGAGACCTGGGAGGCATTTGTTTAAAGGACATATCTGTTAGTATAGAAATTATAAATAAATAACATAAGTAACAGTGAACACATTCCATTATTTCCAAACTTTCTCCAATAAGAAACTTACAATATTCATAAATGCCTCAGGATTCCCATGTCCTCTTCTTATGAGTTCTGAATCTGCAGTTGCTTGTGTCAGATATGTCATTAGAATGAACAGCCACATCTTGGACCTGTGCAAAATAATTTATCCATCAATAGTTTTGGTAGGAACACATTCATAAAAATGACACTGCTCAATGATGACACAAGTCAGGGTAAAAAAAAAGCAAGGAGTTTCTCAGGAAGACAATATTAAACATACAACTGCCAACTATCCTTATGTGAAGGAAAGATAGGAAGAATCATAAGCGGCGAATATGGAGTGGTATAATGACCTTAAAATCAAAAAGGAATCCTACAAAGAATGGAAATATCGATACATTGATAAAAAGTAGTAGAAAAGTTTAGCAGAAGCATGTAGGAACAAAATTAGAAAGGCTAAGGTACATACTGAGTTACACCTAGCAAGTGACATAAAAGATAATGAGGTTCTTTAAGTACATTAGGAGCAGGAGAAATATGAAGGAATGTGTAGATCCTCCACTTATCAGGGACAGACAGCTAATAACACAGGATATGAAGAAGTCTGAGGTGTTTAATGCTTATTTTGCTTCAGTCTTCCTTAAAAGGAAGAATGGTGACCAGATACTCAACACAATTAATATTAACAATGGGGGAAGTGGGAGAGAAACAAGCCAAAAACAGGGAATAAACAGGTTAAAGAATATTTAGTTAAGTTAAATGCATTGAAAATGGCACGGCCTGACAAAGTTAATACTAGGGTACTTAAGTAATTAAGTGAGCAATCTTAATACCATTAGCAATTATCTTCAAGAACTCATGGAGAATGGGTGAGGTCCCAGAGGGCTGGAGAAGGGCAAACACAGTACAGTAAAAAGCTGCTTTATCTGGCACTTCACCAACTGGAAAGCTCTATAAGCTCTGATCTTCATTGAAATGCCAGTTTATAGTCTGGTTGGCATGGGGCCGGCAGGGGGTTGGGGTGTGGGAGGGGATAAGGAATGTGGGCTCTGGGAGGGAGTTTGGGTGCAGGAGGAGGGGGCAGAGTGCCGGATCAGCGGTCACTCACAGGTGGCTCCCCATAAGTGGCAACCTGTCATTGGCTCCAGCTCCAGCCACTCCTAGACGGAGGCATGGCAGGCTTCTCTGTACTCTGCCTACCCCCGCCCCCACCAGGAGTGCCATCTGTGCAGCTCCCATTGGCTGGGAATCAAAGGGAATCCCATCACTGGAAGTTATTAAGAACAGGTTGGATAAAGACCTCTCAAGATGGTCAAGGTTTATTTTGTCCTGCCTCAGTGTAGGGGACATGATGATCTCTTGCCGTCCCTTGCAGTCCTACATTTCTAGGATTCTATGAAAAATGAACAAAGCTATGTGGCTTTAAACTTTTAACATCATTGATGCAGATGGTTGAATTCAAGATCTCTGTCATTATCTTTAAGGCCTTCATTGAAGAAGAAACCTAAAAGATCGCCTGAAGCTCTGGGATAAGATTTGTTGTTAACTCCACCCCTTGGGTACAATGGAGCTGTCCTCAGCAAAGGTAAAACTTGTTTGTGCAGGAGACAGAATTCTCTCTAAGGCAGTAGAATTAATTCCCACATGATCTAATAACTACTTCAGCCATTACCATTTTCCATTCCAAATACAAGATGAATGTCTTTGAGTTTGTCTTCAATAATGAACACACAAGCTGTCAGGTGACTGGGACTTGGGCAATATAGGCTAGTGGTCAAAGCAGGAATCATGCCTAGTGGTTGGAGCAGATGTCAGGAACCAAGTGTCGGAACCAGAGGCTAGAGTCAGAGTCAGTAGTCAGGAGCCAGAGGTCTGGATCAAACTGGAGGTCAAGATCTGGATACAAGAGCTGAGTGTCAAAGCCAGAGTCAGAAGCGGGAGTGAGGGTTGAACTGGAATTACCTGATACAGACAAGGTAACAGGCAAAGGAGGGGCTCAGCAGGGCTGAGACAAGGCTGAGCGCAAGACAGGAGCAGCAGGAAGAAGGCAACACAGGAGGAGTCACACTGACAGGTGTGAGCATTGAGAAGCTAGCAAGCTGCTGCGGGCTTAAGAGCCTACCTGGTGGCCTTTCCAGCCAATCAGGTGGTGTAGCCAGTCAGGCAACCTGCTTCGGGACAGCTGTGCTTCTTAAGTTGCCTAGAAACTAGCTCTGCTGCAGGCTGTGATTCCTGACAGAGCAGGGGAGGCATGCAGTAAATAAATAAAAAATACCAAACCAAAAAAATTACTCATGAAATTTTCTCACTCAGGAGAAAAGAATCACACATAAGAGGTGCTAGTCACGGTGCTTAACACATTCCTGAGACACATGCAGATACTGAGGGTGGTATAAGAACCAGAACAGAAGAGAATAGAAAAGTCTGGAGGATCAATAAAATGTAAATAATATTAAATACTTGCCAACTGAATACTCTTACAGTACTCATCTTGTTGTTTACTGTTATTTAAGGGTATGCAGCAGGGCTGACCAGAAAATAAACAGTCCATTTTGTGATCAAATGAAATCTCAAAAAAAAAAAAAAAAAATACTAGATAGAAACAAAACGGGGACCCTTTGAAACTGAATGAGAACACAAGGAAGATATTGGGCCAGAATAGTTAGTAGCCCAGAGGTTAGGGCACACACACCAAGGAGGTGAGAGACCCAGCTTCAGCTATCTATTCTGCCTGATTTTGGGATAAGAGGTCTCCATAAGACGGCCATATTGGTCCATTTAGTCCAGTATCCTGTCCTCTACACAGTGCCCAATGCCAGGTGCCCCAGAGGGAGTGAAGTGATTGATTCCGTCGCCTATTCCCAGCTCCTGGCAAACAGAGGCTCGGGACACCATCCTTGCCCATCCTGCCTAATAGCTAGGGCCCTACCAAATTCACAGCCATGAAAAACACATCACAGACCGTGAAATCTGATCTCCCCCCCGCCCATGAAATGTGGTCTTTTGTGTGCTTTCACCCTATACTATAGGGATTTCACAGGGGGAGACCAGCGTTTCTCAATTTGGGGGTCCTGACCCAAAAGACAGTTGCGGAAGGGTCACAAGGTTATTTTAGGAGGTGAAGGTATTACCACCCTTACTTCTGTGCTGACTTCAGAGCTGGGTGGCAGACCATACCATGCTACCCTTACTTCTGTACTGGTGCTGGCTGGTGGCTCTGCCTTCAGAGCTGGCTCCCAGCCAGTAGTCGCCACTCTTCAGCTGCTTAGCTCCAAAGGCAGCACTACTGCCAGTGGCAGCACAGAAGTAAGAGTAGCAGTACCAATCCCCACCCCTATAATAACCTTGCCTGCCCCCCCACACAATTCCTTTATGGCTCAGGACCCCTGCAATTACAATACCATGAAATTTCAGATTTAAATATCTGAAATCATGAAATTTACCCTTTTTTAAATCTTCTGACTGTGAAATTGACCAAAATGGACCATGAATTTGAAAGGGCCCTACCAATAGCCATTGATGGACTTATCTTCCATGAGTTTATCTAGTTCTATTTTGAACACTGTTATAGTCTTAACCTTCCCAACATCCTCACTCTGCCTATTGAAATTCCATCCTGGACCCTGGAAACTGCCCTGATAAAATTTCCACACAACTGATATTTCTGCAAAATGTTTCATTTGTGACAAATTGGCATTTTCCTACGAAAAAACATTTTGTTGAAACATACCCATTCTAGAATAGCTAGATTCACTCGCTTAACAGTAGTTTCATTGAATGTCTTTTTCATCAACAACAGCTGCATATTCCACACACTGCTTAATTCATAATGAAAGAAGTGCCAGGGCTCAAGCAATTGGTTGCCAGAACACAAGCAATTTTTCTATTTTCATAACTGATGCATCAAGCCCAGAGGAGCCGGGGTTAAGACCTGCCAAGCCTGGAGTTGCCAGGGCTCAGCCAGCACAAAGTAAGCACTGATTCCACATCTTTGTGTAGGTCTGTATTAATGCTGATATGTTGCAACTACATATTGGTTTTTGCAAGTAATAAAATAACTAAGAAGAAAAAAAAAATCAAGTGAACTTTTCAATTTACCCTAAACTTTGTCAACGGTTTATAAAAGCCCAGATAAGACAGTGAGGCGTAAATCAGGATTAATTTGGCACAAAGATGAAATGCAAATATTTTAAACCACTCCAATGTTCAGTCTCTCCAATCCTTTGCTCTAATCCAACCATATAGACTAAGATAGAAGGGAATGAAAATTTCAGGAAGGCACCGCCCTATCAAACGTCTTTTTTAAGATGGTCAAAGATACAATATTTAGAATCATCTGAAGCTTCCCAAGGAAAACAATTGAAGTTATTCCCAATATTATACATGGAGCTGATAATGCTGCCTGTAGCTAAAGTTCTCTGATACCTTCCATTTTAAGAGCTTGTTTTGAATTGTGTATGCCTTTGCCAAACTTTAACTGTCTCCAATTAAATTTACCATGCCACACATCTGCCTCATGTTGACATCTAAAACTGTCCAGCTATTCCTGAGAATGAGATTAAGGAAAAATAAATTGCTTTGTCCATATTCCACTTTTCTTGTGGAACAAATCACGTGAATGTGTAAATTATTGACTGTGTAATACATATATGCTATGGAGCTGAATTGAGGTTGCACAGGCAACCTGAAGTCTGGTATTTCCAAAGTTATAAATGCTTGACTTTGCAACCTTATTTTTTTATATAGTTATTTGGAGGTAACATTTAATGTGCTCAGAGATTGCAGTTCTAGTCAGTTTCAGAGATGTGGCTTCAGAGATTCTGCACAGCAATAAATGCAGTAAAACAATACTTGAGAGACCAGAGAAAAAATCCGCGGTATTTCATTTGTGTTAGAAACATGGCTAGAGAATTGTGAAGTGAACTTTATATGATGATTCATTTTAATTCCCAAAGAAACACTTCCTTCAAGTGTACACGTCTTAAGAACTTTATTTATTCTACCCGCTAAGGTCCCTAATTCACAGCCCTGCTGCAAATGCCTTTATGTATCCCTTTGTTTTCTGTCCTCCTGTTTCTGTCCTCATATAACAACAATGAATCTGGTTCCCATCTCAAAAGTTTCTGTATCACCCCATAACATGGGATCTGGCTTAATGCTGAAATATAGACCTTAATGTGAAATGATTTATTAGATACACTCCAGAAAGATTCTCCCCTAAGGCAGTTCAAAGTACCCGATCTGAATGGGTCTTCCAAGCAAATTAATATTCTATAAAAAGTCACTCCTGGACCATGCACTTTTGAAAACAATGAAAGGTTTAACCCACCTTGTACTGACCATAATTATGGATTTTCTGATGATTTTCAGGAAGCTTAACCTCAGTAGACATCTCCTGTATACCCTCCTCACTCAGAGAAAAAGCAACCAAAATACTTCATTACGAAAGTAGTTAAATGCAAATCTTAGTCAGAGTTAAATTAAGAAAAAGAGTTACTCACTGGAGTCCTTCTGCTGCACCAAGTGGATTCAGATCTCTGAACAGTGGCAACTCTGATGGCCCCAGTGTTAAAAAGCAGCGTGAGGGGGCAGATACTCGCCACATCAGAATATCTCATACTTCTTGCTCTCCAATCAGAAGTAGCCTTGAAGTGTCATTTACCAATTCCACCTCTCCCCCTTCTCTCTTTGGACTGATTTTTAGCATTGGATATATTTACTCAGACTTATACTTTCCTTAGAGGAGCACCCATCCCAAGCTCTAGGTGTCCTGGAAAGTTAAACGTCCATATCACAAAGGAGATAGACTCTGGCAATTACGTTAACAGTAAAGGAAATGCATGGCAATTATATCTCTGCTCTTTACTAACACAGACATAATACTGACTGGTTGTGATCTGCTGTCTTAAAAAAAAAGTCACCCTAAACTTGAAAGTAAAATGTAGACTTGAAGTCAGGAATTGTCAGCAAATTCAGTATGAAATATTCACCTAAATTCTGTATTCATCAATCATATAGAATCACTTAAATTGTTGGTAACAGGGCATTAGCCTATAACATTAATACACAATACATTAGATAGCATGGTTTAATCCTTTGCTGGGTTGGTAATTTATTAGGCTATGATATTTTTCTTTGTTCTGCCTGTGTGTGCAGGTGATAGATAACATCTCAATAATATTTTTGCAGGGAGGCATTAGAAATCTGAAAGTGCAATTCAATATTACTAATTATCATTTTTATTCCCTGTCAGCTTTGGCTTTGATAAATTAAACCCTTGCCATGCTGAACTATTCTTATCACCAGCAACATTGTCAGAATCACGGGTTCACAAAAAAGACACTTTGGGAGAGACTTCAGGTTCTCCTGGATGATGGCCTCTGATGTGTTATTCTCACTTTTACTCCCAACTAACATACCAGGAATTTCTTTCAAACATTCCTCCTCACTCAACCCATCCATCAGAATACTGTGGTAAAGCTGCATCCTTGCAGAATTTGGTTGACTGCCCACTGGACATTTGCTGGTGCAGGCACATTCCCAAATGCCAATATACTCATGAAAAAACCTGGAATGCATTTATGATCAGACAGTGTTTGGAAATTTCTTCCAAGATCATTTGGAAATAAGATGTTCACGGAACCTTGATTGTACTCCACATTTTTGCCACTACAAAAGCTGTACTTCGTACAGCTTGACAAAGAGAGAAGTCACATGGTATACATGGAGGACATTAAACCAGAAAAAAAAATCTATGACTTTTCTGAATTAATTTTATATCCAGAAAAACCAACAGAGTCCTGTAGAGTCTGCAGAAGGGGATAGAGAGTTGGTGAGATGATAGGAACAGCACAATGCCATCAGCTTGAAGTGTGATTTCAACCTTCCAGTGGTGTCACCCCACCCCTGGGTTATTCTGGGTTAGCTGGTCCACAGATTCAGTTGCATAGGAAAACAATACAGATGATAGGTGGCACTTAAAGATGTTCCTTTTCTAAAAACAAAGCTGACTAAGTCAAAAGCTTTTGCTGTGTCAGATGAAAAACAAACCAATTGTGGAACCCAAACCTCCAAATCAATTTGCAGAAATTGGCTAATTGTCAGACCCTAAGGCCTCAACTGCAGAGATTTAGTTCACTCAGGAGTTTTCATCTTTGCTACATAGGGATTAGTCTTTCCTCATCACAGCCTTTACATGCCAAGCAGGTATACATTTAAAAAAATGGTCACTTACCTTTCGTAACTGTTGTTCTTTAAGATGTGTTGCTCATGTCCATTCCAATGTAGGTGTGTGTGCCCATGTGTACAGTTGTTGGAGCTTTCTGCCTTAGCGGTATCTGTAGGGCCGGCTGTGGTGCCCTCTGGAGTGGTGCGCTCATGCAGCGGTATATCAGGTGCCGCCGCTCCACACCCTTTCAGTTCCTTCTTGCCAGCAACTCTAACAGAGGGGCAGGAGGGTGGGTAATGGAACGGACACAAGCAACACATCTAGAAGAACAACAGTTATGAAAAGGTAGGTAACCTTTTTTCTTCTTTGAGTGCTTGCTCGTGTTGATTCTGTTTTAGGTGACTCATATCTAGGGAGGTGGGCTCAGAGTTCACAGCTTACAGTACTGCCCTATGAAAGCCAGCATCGTTCCGGGCCTGCTGGGTAAATGCATAGTGGGACGTAAAGGTATGGACAGATGACCAAGTGGCCGCCCTACAGATGTCCTGGATAGGCACTTGGGCCAGAAAGGCAGCCGAAGAGGTCTGTGCCCTGGTAGAGTGGGCAGTGACAATCGCCAGGGGTGGCACCTTCGCTTGATCATAGCAGAAGTGAATCCAGGCTGTGATCCAAGAGGAAATCCTTTGAGCAGATACAGGACGATGTTTCATCCTGTCAGCCACAGTGACAAAGAACTGCGTGGACTTACGAAACAGCTTGGTCCTGTCAATGTAGAAGGCCAAAGCCCTCCTCCGATGCTCTCCCTCCGACTTATGCAGCTTTGGAAAGACCTGTGAGTAAATGTCTTGGCTCGAATGAAACTGAGAAAACTACTTTGGGGAGAAAGCCCAGGTGCAGTCTTAGCTGGACTTTTTCCCTGTAGAAGACCATGTAAGGCAGTTCCTAGGTGAGAGCCCAAATTTCAGACACTTGGTGAGCCAACATCGCCACTACCAAGAGCGCGAACTTCCAGGAGAGGAGGAGGAGAGATCAGGAAGCCAGTGGCTCAAAGGGGGGACCTGTGAGCCATGACAGGCCTGGGATCCCTGACATGCGGGTAGAGGCACTACAGGCTCTTAAGGAATCTGGCCATGATATTCTGAGCGAAAACTGACCTGTCACAGAATGGCAGGTGGAAAGCCAAGATGGCCACTAGATGGACCTTGATTGAAGAGAGGGACAAGCCCTGGAGATTGAGATGCAGGAGGTAATCTAAAATGAGCTACAATGAAGCTCCCTTGGGATGGACCCTCTTATTCGCAATCCAGCAGGTGAACCGCTTCCATTTAGCCATATAGTTCACTCTGGTGGAGGGCTTTCTACTACCCAACAGGACTCACTGAACCTCAGCCGAACACCACTGGTCCTGTGCGCTCAGTCACGCAGCAGCCAAGCTGTCAGATGTAATGCCACCAGGTTCGGGTGCAGAAGACTGCAATGGTTCTGGGATAACAGGTCCGACCTGTGCAGCCGCCGGAACGGGGTCGCCATCGAAAGGTGCAGCAGAGTGCTGAACCAGTGCTGGTGCAGCCAGGCCAGTGCTATGAAGATGACTTTCACCATGTCCTGCTTGATCTTCATCAGGACCCTGAGCAACAACAGCACCAGAGGAAAGGCATACATCAGGCCCCCCCACCCCCCACCATGGGAGCAGAAAGGAGTCCGACAGGGATCCTCTCGCCATGCCCCGAATCGAGCAGAAAACGTGACTTTTCTGTTCTGCCTGGAGGCAAACAGGTCCACCCCTGAAGTTCTCCACTTGTGGAAGATGAAGTTGACCACCCCGGATGAAGGGACCACTCATGGCGAGACGAGAATGTCCTGCTGAGGCGATCCGCCAACGTGTTCTTGGTCCTTGGAAGGTGAGCAGCGACGAGGTGGATATCGTGCTGCAGACAGAAGTTCCAGAGCCAGAGGGCTTCCTGTAAGAGGGCAAACGACCTGGCTCTGCCCTGCCTGTTGATATAGAAGACTGTAGCCGTGTTGTCCGGCAGGACCTGAACCACCATGCCTTGTAAATGAGGTAGAAACTCTTGTCAGGCTTGGTGAACTGCCCTGAGTTCCCTGATATTGATATGCAGGGAAAGATCATGATTGGACCAACCACCTTGAGTATTGAAATTGCCCAGGTGGGCTCCCCATCCCAGGTCCAAAGTGTAACCGACGAGACCGGGGCTGTGAAGAAAACTCATTCCAGCACTGATGCAGGATGCTGCCAGGTGAGTGATGACAGAGCATTGTCCGGAATCCTGACTACCTGGTGCATGCTGTGCTCAATGGGAACAAAGACCGATGCCAGCCACGCCTGTAGAGGCCTGAGGTGGAGCTGTGCATGCCTGACCACGTAAGTGCATGCCACCATGTGACCCAACAGTCTCAAGCACATATGGACGCTGGTGAGTGGGTGCTCTCACAGGCTCGAGATGAAGTCTCCCAGGGCTTGGAACCAAGCCTCAAGGAGGAAGGCTCTGGCCCGATGAGTCAAGAACCGCTCCAATGAACTCTATGCATTGTGCTGGGGTCAGGGTTGACTCTTCCTCATTTATGATCAGCCCCAGCTCACAGCTGGTGGAACAGACCAGATCGAGATGCCTCCTCACCTGATCCAGGGACTGGCCCCATATCAACCAGTCATTGAGGTATAGGTAGATCTGACCTCCCCGGCATCGTAGGTAAGTGGCCACTGGCACTATACACTTTGTGAACACATTCTAGGCTGATGAAAGGTCAAAGGGCATTGCCGTGAACTGGAAGTGGCGCCGGCCCAACATAAAATGGAGGAAGCACTGGTGCCCAGGGAAAATGGAAATATATGTCTTTTAAATCAAGGGCAGCGTACCAGTCTCCCGTTCACTGCAGACACCACCAGTGATGCCACAGGGGGATGGGTATACAAATACTCGAAGTCCTTTGCAGGGACATAATATTTCTTTTCCATCTTCTTGGACATCAGCGGAATAGAAGAGGGAGTTTGCCATAAAGCCTTGACAATCTTGAGGACGCCCAGGTGGATGGACAATGCGACCCATGCTGGGGTAGTGGCCAATATGACATTGAAGAGGTCCTCAGCCTCCTCGGCGACCTCCTCAATTTGCAGGCCAAAGTTCTCAGCCACCCGTTTAAGGAGGGTCTGGTGCTTCTTAAAGTTGTCGGGGGGGGCTACTAGGATGGGATGGCCCAGCCACCGTCTCATCCGGGGATGATGATGAGGACTGCACCACCTGCAGAAGGGTGTCATCCCCTTCTTTGATGAAGGAGGGCTCCCTCGGTGCCAGGCTGCAGTGCACCACCTCGGCCTCACCTCCGGTACCGCGCGCTGATTGTGGTGCTGCAGCCGGCTTGTCCAATGCGGC